CCCCGCCCCTGGAGCCTCCCCACCGCCAGCCTTCCCTCTGACCTGGCCTCACCCGTGCTCCAAGGAGAGGAGCCAATCTGCCCCGGGGCTGGAGTCTCACGTGCAGGTTCCTGGTGCCCGTTTCCCTGGGCGAGGGTCCCAGCCCTGTGTTCCAGAACCTTCTCCGACCTTCTCTTGACCTTGCCCCGAGGATCGCCCCCTCGCTGCTCTGCTCCGATCCCGTCTCCCTCTGCACGTGACCCCGGGGGTAGGCGTGGAAACCTCCTCGACCCCACAGTTAAGTCCCTCCTGGGTCCCCGTGCCCTCTGCTGCCACCGCCCCCTTTCCTGATGCTCCGGTGGCAGGGTGCCTGGAGGGGCCCTCAGTGGTTCTCCCCTCCCCTCCTCCACCTGTCCCCACGGCTGAGCTGCAGATGGAGCCAGTCCTTGTTGGTACAGCCCATGGTCCCTCCCTGCCCCCAGCGTCCCCCACCAGCCCCTCCGGCTCCGCATAGACACTAGGGTCACCTTGGCCCAGGGCTCCAGCTTGGGACCCTTCCTTCCCTCCTCTGTTTCCTCCTGTAGACACACAGTGTTTTCTGTCATCCCTGAGCTGGTGACTCACGCACTGAAGTCCCCGCCCTGGCTACTCCAGGAACCCCGGCTCAACGGCTCACTTGATACCTCTGTTCGGATAGAAAACAGCCATTTCAGGCTCATGCAGCCCCCGAAGGATTCCACCCACCCAACCTCCTCCTCCTTCAGCTTCTTAGTAGATGGCACCACCCTCTGCCCAGTTGCTCAACCCAGAACCCGTGAGTCCACCCTAGATTCTGAGAAGCCCTCACCACCCATCTCAGACCACTGCAAGTCTGTTCATTTCCTGTCCTAGGCCTTTTTCTGTTGCTGTAACAAAATGCTGGAGACTGGGTAATTTATAAAAAAAAAATAGGAGTTCATTTGGCTCAGGGTTCTGGAGGCTGGGACGACGAAGGGCATGGAGCGGGCTCTGTGTGCACCTGAGGGACACAGAGGGTATCACATGGTGAGCCAGAGCGAGCAGCTAATTTGGGCATCTCTTCTTCCTCAAGCCACTGATGCCATCAAGGC